CAGACAGTTTGCATTCGCTAGCAACGGCAGGCTGCTTCCTTTTCCCTACTTTTGGCCATGCATTATTTTCGGGTTTCTTGATTTTGGGCCCTGTTGATTGTACAACTCTAATCCTTTCACTTGAATTTTTGTTAGAATTAATGTGATTTTTGTGCCGAATTTGAGCAAAATCGGATAATGAAAAGTATTAAATAGGGCCGGACACCAGGACACCGGACAAAAGAGTAATATTATAAGCGGGTTTTAAAAAAATCTCGTTAAAACGATTGAAAAGGAATAAAAAGGAAAAGTGTGAGGTCTGTTTTTTGACAAGTCAAAACGTCAAAGTCGTAAAGTTGACTATGACGCACACGGCGTTCGGCCCGCCTAACATCAACTCATCAGGCAATTCATCTGTGTCAAGTTCAATAGTTGAGCTAATTTCAAAGTTCAAGTAAGTATCTGGAAAAAGGAGCCCATTTTTGTGTTTAGGAAACAATTTAAAAACAAAAATAACATTTGTAAAACAAAGAAAAAGTACAACAAAAATTCAATTCAATTTTAAAATATTTACCGGCATTTGAGTCACTTTCAAGTGAATTCTTCTCAGCACGTTTCCTAGATGGCAGATCATCAACATCTTACTGTCAATTTTTGTTTTGCATTTGAATGTCATTTAATTTTTGTTTGTTTAGGGGCACTATGACATTTTTTATTTTCTTGGCCATAGGGCCAAAAAAGGCTCAAATGTGGCATTTTTCGGAGCAGCAGTGTGGCCACAATCACAGGTTGCATGTTCAATTTAAATGCCCTTGTTTTTTCCACTTTTAGAAAAACTGATCATTAAAAATCCTTTTATAAGTGCATCAAAACATTGAAAAGTTTGTTTCGTACAGCCGCCTTAAGAAACTGTAAAAGACTCAAAGCAATGAATTGCGCAGAGATTGCAAAAGGCAGTAGCTGCAATTGCTCAATCGACCCCTACAACTTATTTTTAGTCAGTAGCTTATCAACTTTGAGTGCTAAGTTTTAGCACACGTTTGGTTACTTTCACATTGAGTTCACTTTGAGTTTCAAGTAAAATTGTTATCAACATTTGATTATTTGCAGTGAGAAGAAAAAGCATTTTGCATATGCAGTGCTGATATTTCGTCAGCAATCGAACAAACATAAAAGAAACAATCCAACAAACTTTTTGTGTTTTCTGTCAGCAGTTTGGTTTTTCATCACTTCATCCGCAGTAACTGTAAAGCAAAAATGGTCAAAATTGCAGTGATTGGTGCTGGCGCTAGTGGAATTACCGCCACAAAACAGGCCCTCGATCAAGGATTTGAAGTGACCGTATTTGAGAAAACTAACTACACCGGCGGATTGTGGCGTTTTCAAGCCAATTTAGATCAAGATGGAATTGCTAGCGTAATGAAGAGCACTATCATCAATACGAGGTAAGAAAATGTAATTCATTTAATAAAACCATCTCAATTGTAATTTTTGTTTTTTAGTAAAGAGCTCAGTGCTTTTTCTGATTTTCCACCGCCAGCTGAGTATCCCAATTTCATGCACAACTCCAAAATGGTCTGTATAATTGACTAACTGATTTCTTGCTAAAATTGTAACAGTCATTACTTTATTTTTCTTTAGATTGCCTATTTTGATGCCTATGCAGATAGTTTTAATTTTACCAAGTACGTGTGTTTTCGCACTGAAGTTGTCTCCCTCGAGCCGGCAAGCGATTACGAAGAGACTGGTCGATGGGTGGTTCGTTTGCGTAACCTTGACACGCTAGTTGAAAGCTCCATCATCTTTGACGGTGTCATGATCTGCACGGGCCATCACAACACAGAGAGCAGACCAGTGTTCAAAGGACAGGAGCAGTTCAAAGGCACCATAAAGCACTCGCACTCACTGAAAACCAATCAAGGGTTTGAGGATAAAAATGTCGTCGTTGTTGGTGTGGGTAATTCCGGCGGCGATGCAGCGGTGGAAATTGCAACAGTGGCTAAACAGGTGCTGTATTTATTGAGCTTGACAGTGTGATCTTTTATCTAATTAGAATGAACTGCTCAGGTTTACCTTTCAACTCGCTCCGGAACATGGGTGTGGCACCGAGTCGGCCATGATGGTCGTCCACTGGACACTCTTATCAAGCGTCGCTTTCTGTGGCGCCTAATGAGCTACCTGCCTTACTCTTTGGTGTGCACTATTATTGAGATGTACCTCAACAATAGCATGAATCACGAGCAGTACCAGCTGAAACCAAAGCACAGAGTTTGTAAGTGAGATGGCAACCGATCAACTTAACTGCAACTTCTTTTTTCAGTTTCTCAGCACATTTTTATTAATGATGCGTTGCCAAACCGAATTTGCTCAGGTAAAATTTGCAAACTGAATCAATTTTAAAATTTTAAAACTGGTTTATTTTTGTTTCAGGAACAATTATGATCAAGTCTGACATTGACCATTTAACCGGTAGTTATTTTTGTTATGAATTCTGCAAGTTTTTTTACTAATGAAAGGCTTTTTGCTTAGAAACGGGTGTTGTCTTTAAAGGCGAGACACAAGAAACTAAAGTGGACTCGATCATTTGTGCGACTGGTTATAAAATTACTTTTCCTTACTTGTCTCAGGACATCCTACCGGTGAACCGAAACAAAGTCCGGCTTTACAAGCACCAGTTTTTGCCCAACCTCAAGCACCCACATACGCTGGCCATTATCGGATTAGTTCAAGTAATATTTCTCTTTTTACATTTAAGTGTTGTCAATGACGTATTTTGTTCCACTAAAAAGCCAATTGGAGCCATATTTCCTGTGGCTGAAATTCAGGCTAGATGGTTTGCCCAGCTGATGGCCGGAAAAAGTCGATTGCCCTCCAAAGAAGCCATGGAAATGTCGATTCGCGAACAAGAACGCTATCTCTCGCGTTTCTACGACTCTGAACGCCAGACAATTCAGGTTCATATTTGCACTTCTGTTATGCTCTCTTGTCACTTATTAACTGTACAAATTACTCATCAACACAGGTCGACTGGTTGCCGTTTATGGATGAACTTGCCAAAAAGGTGGGCGTTTATCCCAATCTGACCAAGTACTTCTTCACGAACCCGAAACTCTGGTTTGCCTGTTGGTTTGGCCCTGGTGCTGCCTACCAATACCGCCTGGAAGGGCCAAACAAATGGGAAGGAGCACGAGAGGCGATGCTATCAATTCAGAAGCGTATCAACGCTCCTCTCGAGACAAACAAGGGCAGAGAAGCCTCGACAAACAAGTTGACAAACTGGAACTGTGTTCACTTGATTATCATCACAATCATCATCTCTTCAGTTCTCACTGCACTTTTAACTGCAATTTTTATATGAAAAGTTGTAGTTCACAAGTTGTGCAAATCAGATAATTTTACAAATTAGCTTGATTTAGTGAGACTTTTTTCCTAGTGACCAACAGAAAACACAGCATTGTTCAGTTTCATTAGAAAGTAAACAATAAAACACAAAACTTGTGCCAACTTTTTACTGTGATCGATTGACATCATGTGGGCACGAACTATTGTGTGTTTGGTCGACAGCTAAAATGAGGTCATCAGTGTCCGCTTTCTCGTCTTTCGGGTAAATAGAGAAAGTGGGCTTCTTCTCTTCGTTTTTCTCTCTTTTCTCACCTGTGTCCAGGTTTCTCTCCTTTTCTCCGTTCTGCCCTCTCATCACCGTTCTCCTTAGCTCTTTTTTTGCACAGTTATTTTAGGGATGTCCGAGCCGAACAGAGCAAGTCTTTTCTGCTGCTAAGCCAAAGGTGGTCTTTCTACTTAACTGCCACTGCTATCCGAAACCTGTCCGGTAAGTCTTCGCTTGCAATTTTTTTTCTGTTCTTTAGAAAAAAAAAGTTGTCAGAGACGGCAAACTTCACCAATTGACAAGAAAAGTTTTGCAGTCCACCTGTAGATTTCTTTGAAGCAGTTGGCTTCTTTTAAACACGCCGTTACTTTGTGTGCTTATGCAAATTTTCTGTATGCACCAGTGAACACATGTTGAAAGTGCTGTGTAGTTTCACCAGTTTAATCAGTGTAGTTTACTGTGCATGAAATGTAAGTTTGCTTTTGTTTTACTATCGACTTCCACTATACTTTTCATTTTACAAAAGTGTTTGTAAGAATTTGCTTGCAAAACAAAAAATCTCTGTGCAGCTCTCATTTGTTTGCAATATTCAACGTTTCATACTGTTTCTAAAGCCAAGTGCATCCCTCGACCGACAAAACGAGTACAACCAAACGAAGCATGTGTGTCGTCTCTATGTCGCCAAGGGCCATCACTCGATAGCATCGACTAGCTCTTCTCATTGACAATTTACATCAACAATTTTAGTCGTAAACGGTATTAGTCTAGTGCCGTCAATATGCTGATAGCGATCATCGATTATCAACGAGGGAAAAGTGTAGATAATAGTGCAAGCACTCTCTGGCAGAGAGTCTTTGTCTTGCCGGTATAGCTGACTTTTTTCGTTGCTCTATGAGTTTACGCACGCTGGCAGTCAAACAAATGCAAAGTTTGGCAAAAGGAACGTGCTTTATACATTTTACTGTGTAGCCAAACAAATGATTCCACCCAGTATGGTCTTCTTGTGCAACTTGCTTTCATTCGCTTTCATTCGCTCACATTGGCAGAACAAGTTCCTTCGCCAAGTTATTGTCTGATTGGCGGGCAGATTTAGTTTATGAAAACCGACGCACAATCACTCTATCAGCAGAAGCACCCCTGAGACCTACTGCTAATGTTGGTCAACTGCTACTCACTCTGCTAACGGCAATGTGGTGATAAGCACCCACCAATGACAGCAGCTTTTTGAACTTTCTAATGTTTTGACTCTGCATTTTATTTGACTATTAATACCGATTTTGATTTGTGTTTGCCACTCAGTCTTTCTTTATCGGCTCTTTGTTTCCTCTGTCTCTTTTAGTACATTTTAAAGTTTCCACCAATCGTCACCACCACTCTTTACTGTTCATCTTCAACTGGCATTTGTTTTTGAACAATGGCAAAGCAAATAGCAATCATCGGTGCTGGTGCCACTGGCATGACCGCTTGTAAAGCCTGTTTGGAACAGGGCTTCGATGTGGTCGTTTTCGAGAAAACCAACTACACCGGCGGACTTTGGCGCTATCAAGAAAATTTGGATGAAAACGGGACCGCCTCGGTGATGCGCTCGACTATCATTAACAGGTAAAAAAACATTTTAAAGTTAAAATTAATTCTTAACTTTTGTTCATTTGGCAACAGCTCGAAGGAAATGTCTGCCTTTTCCGACTTTCCACCGCCGCCTGAGTTTCCCAACTACATGCACAACACTAAAATGGCAAGTCAACCCGTCGTTAGAATTATTCGTTCATTTCTGAACCAGTCGTTATTCTTTACTTTAGGTTGCGTACTTTGACATGTACGCTGAAAAGTTCAACTTTAAAAAGTATGTTCAGTTTCGCCATGAAGTTATCAGCGTTGTACAAGCGCCCGACTTTGAAGAGACTGGTCGCTGGGTAGTTCGCACGCGCAACCTCGACACGAACGAAGTGAAGGACCAGACCTTTGATGGTGTTCAAGTTTGCAGCGGTCACCACGGCACTGTAAATCAGCCCAAGCTTAAGGGCGAAGAAAAGTTCAAGGGCACCATCTACCACACACACTCGCTGAAGAACGCCAAGGGATTTGAGGACAAAAATGTCGTCGTCGTCGGCATTGGCAACTCTGGTAAGATTTTCACTTTCAATTTGTTGAGTGCCATTTACTAATTTCAGTGCTTTTGCAGGAGGTGATGCCGCAGTTGAGCTTTCAGTTGTCGCAAAACAGGTAGGTGGTTACTTTTCTTTTATTTTGAAAAAAACCACAACTTGAGTTGTAGATCATTTATTTAGCGTAGAAAAAGCGTATGACTGAAGTAGGTAAACAAAATGTACAAAATTGCTATGTAGAAAAAAGCCAGCTACTGATAATGGCTTTCAACTGACAAAGCATTGTTAGTGTATACGAAACAAAATTGAGTTGAGGTAAAATCATCGAAAAAGCTGTCTATCGTCTTCCACCTATTACCAGTCGTACTTCTTTTCACATGGCTCTGTTTTTATGTAAAAAATGTAGGAAAATGGTCAGTGAATTGAAATGACCTTCACATAAAGAAGCCACTTACGTTTAGTAAAACTTTTTAGGCACTTTCCATTTTCATTGCAGTTGTCGCATTTAGCGGACTTGCTGCCAAATGCACCACTGGAAGACTTTGTTGAGCCAAACAGGCCAGAGGAGCCTTTGGAGTTGGCTGATGAAGAGCCTTTCACCGAGGAGCCCCAAGTATTTGATGACTGGCGAAATGCAGACGAAGTGGAGTTCATTTTTGGCCAAGTTTTATTTTCGAGCCTGTTCTGAAAGATTGCAGTAAAAGATCAGATTGAAAGTGAGATTGAGATTGGATTTTTGCGTAGTAAAAGTTTCTCTTTTTTCCTACAAATGAGCAAAAATTTTCAGAGGCTGAGTTAGACTCAACTCGAAACCTCTTTTTTGCAAAGTGCTCTCTAAAT